GCTCTGCAAGTCCTTATATTAGAGTTGAACAAGTTCCATGGACCTATAAGTACGTGTCAGACTAAGTTTTGCTTTCCCAATTTGCGAATTTTTGATCTTTCTCGTAATGATTTCAGTGGCTCACTTCCTGCAAAAGTTTTTGGAAACTTCAAGGCAATGATCAAATTAGATGACGAAGACACAAGAGAGATCAGGTACATGGAATCTATGTTGAATTTGTCATTTGTCAGATCGTATGAGGATTCAGTGAGTTTGGTAATCAAAGGGAAAGATATTGAGCTACAAAGAATCAGCACAATTACGACAACCATAGATCTCTCAAGCAACCATTTTGAAGGTGTCATTCTGAAAACGTTATAGGATCTCAGCTCACTTTGGCTACTCAATTTATCCTATAACAATCTCATAGGTCATATTCCAATGGAATTGGGGCAATTGAATACACTTGAGGCTTTAGATCTCTCCTGGAATCGGCTCATTGGAAAGATTCCGCATGAATTGACAAGAATGAACTTTCTGGCCTTCTTAAACCTCTCTCAAAATCATCTTGTCAGACCAATTCCTCACGGTCTACAGTTCAACACATTTGAAAATGACTCTTATGGCGGCAACCTTGATTTTATGTGGTCCTCCTTTATCAAAACAATGTGGAACGAGTGATTCATCACATGTTCCTCAACCATTGGAGTCCGAAGATGAAGGCGAGTCATATTTTTTTTAGTGGATTTACGTGGGAATCAGTAATCATAGGCTACAGTTTTGGACTAGTTGTTGGAACTGTCATGTGGAGTCTCATGTTTAAATACCGTAAGCCAAAATGGTTTGTGGAATTTTTTGATGAACTCATGCCTCACAAAAGAAGAAGGCCAAAGAAGAGAACTCAGAGACGGAGGACTTAACGGAAGATTGAGAGGGTTAAATTGTCTTTGTTTGATTTTGTGGACTAATTAGTGAACTGTTCTGTGTTTTACTTTTTACTTTTTTAATTTTCTATTTGTTGTTTGTATATGTTAGAAACATAATATTATGTGTGTTATTTTTGTATCAATGGTTATTCAAGTTATGTTAGTTTGTTTCTGTTTCAAATTGACAGAAGTGATCTACACAGCCACTCATTAGCTATGTTACTTAGATTTTTCAAAAATGTCAACGGGTACGTGTTGGATTCTTCAAAAGTTGTGTATTTTTTAAGGAACCAACATGGGTGCGATATCATCATATTTTAGGAGAGTCCGAGCAACATAGCTCATTAATACAACAAAATTTGAAAAAACAGTGCAGTAAGCATATAGAGTTTGGTTCATGATTGAAATTAGTTGATATTAGAAAGTTTATATTTGTGAAAATTTATGTTGAAGAACACTCAAAACTACAGAAGTGGCTAATAATTTTATGGTACTTCAGCTTTCTAGTCATAGAACATCCTTAAAATGTTCTCTAACTCAGTTTCAACTTCCGCGATTTTGATTTTGGTACATTTTTACATATATTTATACTTCATGACGAAAGTTATGCCTCACGCCATCCAACAACCAATTCATACTGCTTGATTATGAATGAGGGAATTTTTTTTTTATTGGGAAAAATGCTCACTGGAAAGATTTCAAGGGAACTGACAAGACTACAATTCCTGGCAGTCTAAAAACTCTCTCTGAATGTCCTTATCAGACCGATTGCATGTTCCTCGTCCATTGGAGTCCGAAGAAGAAGAAGAAGAGTCGTATTTTGCTAGTGGATTTACGTGGCAATCAGTGGCCATAGTTGTTGTAACTGTCATGTGGAGCCTCATGTTTAAAATGGTTTGTATAATTTTTTGAAGGCATCTTCCGCACAAAAATAGAAGGCGAAAGAAGAGAGCTTTGCGATGACGGATTTAATTAATGGAATATTGGAAGAGCCAACTTGTCAAGTAATATCCATTGTTAGAATAATCTCATGAATATTATTCTTTGAATTTTAGTTGTTTACTTGGTCTGAATTTTCTCTTTGTAATTTTAATCTGTTAGATTACTCTGGATTATTTTTAGCATTTGCTTCGACTACTGAATTGAAGTCATATATTAGCTTAGGTACAACTGAACAATAACATTAAAGTCAAATATATTCTTAATAACAAGCTAAAAGAAAGACATATCTGCATTTGAAGTTCGATTTTTTGTGTTTAAGCAATTGCTGTAGCAGTGGACTGTTATGTTAGATGAGTAAGACGGGCAGATGTTAAATTCCGACATGTTCATTCACTTCGATTTTAAGGCCTGGTCATCCTTGTAATGAAAATTGAATATGAATGCTCAAGTGCCTGGACCTCGAGCAGGTGGTAACTTCTTGATAATTAACTTGTTTCTTCCATGATTTTAAACATCAAATTAAAGAATGAGTTGATTAGATCATCTCTACATCTATAAAAGCAAACACAGAAAACTGTGATCCTTCAATACAATTAATCTCTCAGTTTTCTTTGCTTGTGCATCATTTTTTTATTTGATCATTACACCTTTATCTTGAATCAAGAGTATATGGAAACAACACAAGAGACAACAAATCGGAAATTTCTCTGCAGGTGGAATGATCTTCACCAAGTTATTCAAAACATACTAACTAAGAAGAAAAACACATATCAAACAAAATTTTGAAAATAAAAGAACAAAAATAAAATTCCACACGGAGGAAATGAAGGACTTAAATCATGTCTTTAATTATTCTTCATTTTTTTCCTCACTTGACTTAGTCAAGCAATAGTTTTTGTCATTGGAAATTTCTTAGAAGTTCTGCAGAAAATTATTCTACATAAGACTAATTTCACATCATCATTTTGCATAACACACACTGCAGAGATAGTTAATGACCTCAAAATGAACTTTGTGATTCAATTTTTCTGAACTTTTTCTTTCTTCAACTTTGTGATTCAATTGTTCATCAATTCCGATTTATCACAATCTTTTTCCCCTTCTAGTCTTTGAGGAAATTGGCTTAAAGGCTGATTCAATTTTCTGAACTTTTCTTCTTCGAACTTTGTGATTCAATTGTTCATCAATTCCGATTTATCACAATCTTTTTCCCCTTCTAGTCTTTGAGGAAATTGGCTTAAAGGCTACTTACATTACCCTATCCTTTTTTTTTTGGGTTTCCCACCCGGTGTCCGGAGCCCACATTGAAGTTACGACTAAATCCAAATCGCACTCTGTAGGTCCCATTTGAGGGTGGCGCTCCCAACAAAATTTTCTCCATACCCAGGGCTCGAACCCGAGACCTCTGGTTAAGGGTGAAGCACTCCCACCAGTGCACCACAACCCATGTTGGTACCGTATTCCTTATTTCCTTAGGTGGAATGGAATATTGATGGATTTTCCCTCATTAGCTTAATGTGATCGAAAACTATTGTGTACCTAACAAGTTTGAAAATAGCAGAAGAGACAACTAATCACTAACTCGGAATATTGTATAAATTAAATTCCATAAAAGTTTATTTCATTCTTACAATTGCTTTCTCTATCCCGAACGTACCCTAACTGTTCTCATAATTGGTTCAATGACGCGTCTTGACCTTTTATGATTATATAGATTTCGTGAAAAAATTACACTAAAATTTATTGCATTCATACAACTTGGTTTTGTTTGATTAAAGTGTCCCTTCTTGTCATAGGGAAGATGAAATAGAGTAACATCATGTCTTTAATGCTCATTTATTATTTTATCCTCAATTGACTTAGTCATACAATAGTTCCCTTTGAAAAGTATTGTGGAAAACAGAAGAAGAGATGTTGATGGAAAGTTAGACAAGAATGACTTAAAATAGGAGTTCAAATTTCTACCTATCCATCTAAGTTAGACAAGAATGACTTAAAATAGGAGTTCAAATTTCTACCTATCCATCTAAGTTAGACAAGAATGACTTAAAATAGGAGTTCAAATTTCTACCTATCCATCTAAGTTAGACAAGAATGACTTAAAATAGGAGTTCAAATTTCTACCTATCCATCTAAGTTAGACAAGAATGACTTAAAATAGGAGTTCAAATTTCTACCTATCCATCTAAGTTAGACAAGAATGACTTAAAATAGGAGTTCAAATTTCTACCTATCCATCTAAGTTAGACAAGAATGACTTAAAATAGGAGTTCAAATTTCTACCTATCCATCTAAGTTAGACAAGAATGACTTAAAATAGGAGTTCAAATTTCTACCTATCCATCTAAGTTAGACAAGAATGACTTAAAATAGGAGTTCAAATTTCTACCTATCCATCTATACTAATGTTAAATTGCTATAATATTTTCAACTGAAAACACTCAATTTAGTATATTTTCTATATGGTTTGTGGAACTTTTTGAAGGCATTTTTCCCAAGAAAATGAGAAGACCAAAGAAGAGAGCTCAGAAACGACGGACTTAATGGAAGATTGCAACAGTGAACTTTTCTGCTTTTTCTCTTTTTAATTTTTTGTTTGTTGTTTGTATATACTTGTTAGCAATATAATTTTATGTGTTATTTTCGAATCCGAAACACTTGGTTCAATTTTACTTGGAACCATACATTTAGCATAACTATATGTCCTATTGCATTATAGTTATTATACAAAGTGGAAAAGTTCCACTACACCATAAGAGACCTTTAGCGGCAATAGATTTTCCTTTTAGCGGCAATATTTATTGCCACAAATGCATTTACCGGCATTTGATTAAATGCCATTGGAACCAATGTCACTAAAGCCTTTAGTGGCATTTATGTCGAGTGCCGGTAAAGACCCTTGTTATTGCCGCTAAAAGTAATTACTTTTAGCGGCATCTATTTAGCGGCCTTTACTATTGCCATTAAAACTACCTAGGAACAAGCACATTTGTGGCTTTTGCTATTGCCGGCAAAGATAATAATTGTCACTCCATTAGTGTAATGACTTAAAATTGATCATGAATTCACCTAAATCCACATATTTAACCCTCTTTTATAACATCAAAAATAAAATGCACAAAAGAGATAAGTTTGAAGGTAGTAAAGAAGAAATACCAAACTCAAAACAATGTCATTCATTTAAAATAAGAACAAACAATCTTAATACATTCACAATAGAAAGTATGAATCATCACAATAGAAAAAATGTGTTCAACAATGAAGAAAACAAGGCAATTAAGCCACTATTTTTTTCCCTAATGCAAAATGTGTCAGCTTTCTGGATCAATGCCATTCCTTGAACAAGCTCACCATTTGAATGAATATCTCGCTATACACATATAGCAGCAGATGGTTAGATTACAAGAAATGAGTAATCAATGTCAAGAGAAGCACCAAGTTTTGAATATGCAAGAACAAGAACATAATGTACAACATAACTCACTTGAAAAGATTAACGATTGTCTTTGATCAAGAACATCACACTAATGGTAAAACATATTCCAGTGAAACATAACCAGAGAATATATGAACAAATCAAATCACCTCTAAGCAAAATTAGCCTTGCAACAATAATACAGAAAGAACATGATATCATTTATGTGTTCTTCCATAATAGAACATACGCAGCACCCACTCCCACTACCTAAAACAAAGTAAAATAAGATACAAAAATGAAGAGGAAGAGACTAGGACTTGATATCATTTGTGTTCTTTCATAATAGAAGCACAACCATATATGAACTAGAAGAGAGGATTTACCAAAAGAATAGATAGTTGATACGCACGATTATGTATGGTAAAAAATATTACCCTGTGAGAAGAAAGAACTTGTTGACACTTGACGACTTGAGCAGTGCTTATATTGCTTGTTCATTGCCACTATTGGCATCAGAAACCTAGTAAAATCAACACACTAGATGAAAAAATTATCTTGTACAGCTAAAATTTATGAAAGGAAGTTTTAAAACTTTGAAATCGGATAACCTGTCTAGTAGTACTTCCATTGTTTTGAGGCCTGCTTAATTCAGTAGGAGCATATTTCCACATGACTTTTCTCATCCATGATAATTCTGAAACTAGCATCTCTTGATTTTTTCTCATCAAAACCATTTCTTCATCCTGCTTTTTGTTCAACTCATTTATCTCTTGCTCTAACTTTTTTGCAGCCTCGTTACACAAACCATCAACAGAAACATTTCGTAAGAATGATTTACTGCCCCATAACAGAGAAGGGGTTGGACCAAGTCCTAAACCACGGACATAACCACTTTTTTCTTTTCCCAACACTTGTGAATGCGCATCGCCTTCCCAAGCAACACTGTCATGAGATTGTTCCTCAAGTATCTCATCATTACTCAACTTCTCTTTCATCATGTCCTGGTAATAATTATGATTATTTTTTTAAACTGGCTGATAATAATTAAGATTATGATTTTTAATAATGTGAAAAAAGTACAAAATCAGTGCAATGAAACTAAGAAGCTTCAACAGATTAGTTGCAGTTCACCAATTCCTCATATTTTAACCTTATAATCATTTTTTTTCCAAATCAATTTCCAAGTTAGAATTTTCACAATTGAAAGGTAAAAGTGTATAAGAGATCTTACAGCGGCATTTGAAGACTCCTCATCCAATGGTCTACCATCTCTACGCTCTATGTGAGTTAATATGTAGATTTTTGCACGTGTGGGCTCTATTCCATCTATAGCCTATGAATTTAAATTGATGCAAAATAAATAAGGCATGACCGAAATGAATTGTAAAATCTTATAGTAAGTAATTTATGCATTAATACCTGTTCATTCATCAAGGTTGCTATGCTTTTGGATCCACCCGTGTGAGGCATTTTTTGGTTAGCTCTACTGATTCTATTTGTTTGACTACGCTTCTAGAATGAGAAAATAAAACATCAACTCTTGCTAGTATAACAGAGTACTTAAGTTCTTTGAAAGAACAAGTGGAAGAACTATGAAGAATCTACATATTTTAGAACAAACAGTCAAGATATAGGAAGCGCTAACCTTTGCTTTTTCAGAAAGCCAATACGAGACGAGACCATTCCATTGATCTCTTGGTATGTGAGCTGGTTTATTTTTCATCAAGGCATCTTTGGTCTTATATTTGGTCACATACATAGCCTTCAAGTCGCATTTCTAGCAATGATGCCTAGAAAGCTAGCCAGCTTTCGTCCCTCTTTTCCAATTGATTGATTACGACTATTAAACGGCACAACAATTGTCTTCCCCGGCGGTAGATTCCAAACATCTTTTAACAAAGTAGGTCCACGAGCTTTACTTGTCTTTGAAGGACCTGAAATAAATTCAGAAACAAAGAAAGAATAAGTACAGTGCAACAATCAAGCTAAACAGCGCAAGAACTCTAATAATGAAACCAAGTTTATTTAACTGTCAATTGAAAATTTTCAAATGGAGGGACTGTTTTCTTGTTCCACCTTAACCAGCCGTCCAAACTGAGAAGAAGAGGACAACACAGCATATCAAAAGGATATAACCAGCAGAAAAACTAAGAATAAAAAAGAAACAACAATGCCAACACTTCAGAGAGAGAAAACAAAACAGACATCAATACTACAACAATCAAGCAAACCAGAGAGAATACATACTCTCATAAGTTTGCAAAATGCAACTAGTACTACATACATTATCACGTATTTAGATCTTATTATGCAGATAATCTATAAATTCAAGTTTTAAGAAATAACCTGGCTCATTATTCAGCTCAACAACAGTGTCAATAGAATTGTTATCCTCAGATGTTTGGACTGGCTAGCAGCTCTGAGTTTTCATTAATTGGTGAATGTAGGGTCGTACTTCTTCATCATGACATTGTTCAGCTACCAATCTGCTACCAACTCTATTTCGCATTTTCGTTCTTCAAAATCAACTCCTTATCTATTTTCTTCAAACGTGCAGGTGAACATACTAATATGTGAAAACTTGCAAACAAACTATTAAAGAAAACAACTATGGAACCACACCTCCAAGTGGCTGTTGTTAGTTTTATTGTGAAATCTTAAATCATGTTCTAAGCTATACAAAATTTTAACTCATTTTCTCGAGCTAAATACAGAAGAAAACAAAATCTAATTAATATATACAGGTTTTTTAAGCTATGTTCGTCAAAGCTATATTATGGTAATCAAATCAAACTCAAGTTTTGAAAAAGCAAAATCTAAAAGGAGTCAAATTAACGAAAGTAGAGCGTAGTACAATGCACAGAGTACAACTCTCTGGAAACTACACATACTAATCCTTATATATCATGATTTTACAGTCATACACAAAAAAATCATATTAGTAAAAGCATGGTTTGAAAAAGAAAACCATAAAATAGACAATGATTGCATTAAGCACGGTACAAATTGCTGCATTAGATACCAAGCAAACTGAATAGAGCAAAGGCAAATACAGAGCAAAATTCTTTACAGATCGAGCTTATCACAACATGCCATGCACAAAGTACAACTCTATCGCAGCAAACCACAACTTCACTGCAAGAGTGCAATTCTCATATATGGCAATTTCATCGCTCATACACAAAACATTCATCATCATCCAAATATTCAAAACAAAAAAACAGAATGCGGCGTACCTTGAGGAAGTGGCAAAGGGTTGCGAAAATTGATGGCGGATGAAGAAGACGGAGATGCAAACGACGAAATCGAAGACGAAGAAGATGAAGCTTCAGAGAAATTGATGGTGCTTCATATCAATTTTGTGAATCTCAAATTGCCGCTTCAGATGAAGACGTCGAAAGAGAGATCGAGCCCTTTTGGAATTTGGGGATTTTGGGAATGAAATGGGTTTAGGCGTTTAGGAATAGCCTGTATAGAATGAAATGGGTTTAGGCCTTTTGGAATAGCCTGTATAGAATGTTGGGGTATTTTAGAATAAAAAGTATTTTTTTAATGAAATGGTGTATTAGATATTTAAGTAATTGTCATTAATGGGTCAACTTATACCGACTAAAGGTCAATTGCCGGTAATAATGGATTGTAAAACATAATTTAGCGGCATTTATATTATTGCCATTAAATAATTGCCGCTAAAACTGATTTTTGTGGTAGTGTTCAAGGGATAATAACTGAAAATCTGACTCAACTTTAGGGGTATATTTAGGGCGGTTCAAAATGGAACCACAACCGATAAGCCAATCGCAAAATTTTATAGTTACGGTGCGGGGGCGGATTACGCAAGTCTTATATGCGGCCTCTGCAGAAGTCAATAGGACAACGAAATACAAAGCTTTGCTTTCTACTATTGACATCGACATATTATGAGTTGCTTGAACCTTACATGGACACTCTATTTGAATTGACCACTGAGGGATCAGACAAAGATGAGAATGTTATCGCTCTTCAAGCAATTGAGCTTTGGAGTAAAGTCCCTAAACTAGATGGTCTGCAATGCTGCGAAAGGAATAGTAGTTTTCGATGGATAAATCACTTGCAGCTTGGTCTTAAAACACAAATGTTCTCACCGGAAGAAGACAAGTTGATTGTTACTCTGTGTCATTTTTGAACAGAGACGGGCTCAAATTGCAACACAATTAACAGAAACATCACAAGATCGTCTGGTGAGTTTCTTTTTACCTGCTCCGACAGTACCAATACATAATTTTGGCCTCTTAGTAGATGGGTATGTTATGTTGGAGTCAAGATGCACTACTAGTGGAATAGTAGGTGTTGTAATGCGTGGAAAAATAACATATTTCTTTGGAGAGAGAGATGCACTGTGCTTCTCTGAATCATTTTGTCATGTGGGGTGGCTTGCAATTATTTTTGGCAGGAGTGTTTCATGGTTTGACATTGGGAGTGTGTTGATGGGTTATGGAATTTGGGTTATTTCGCTCATGGTATCGACATATATAACTGAAATAACACCTAAGCATCTCCAAGACTCATTCACCATTATCAATCAACTAACAATATGTTGCAGGAGATCACTTATAATACAGCTTTTCGGCCTATTTTTGATACAAGATTCTCCTAGATGGCTGACCAAGGCTACCCACTGGAAAGCATACACAACTTCTCTTCCGCACTTTAAGAGGAACACTGTCAGTATATCATCAACAACTACTTCAGTAGAGGAATTCATTTCAATCCTTCAAATACTCTCCAAGGTTAAGATGCTTGATTTTCTCAAAAGGAAGGATGCTTGTTCTCTGGTATTTGGAGTTGGATTAGTGGTATCGCATCAAATTGGATAAGTTAAAGCTGCTGCATATTGTGCAATTATATTTGTACTTGCACCAGAAAAGTACATATCATTCTTGCCCATTATTGAAGGCTATGTGAACAACATTACAGGCACTAGTGTAGTTAGCGCATACAGGACTACGTACTGATTTCTTCTTGATATCCATTTGGACCTGCCAACCAGTGGCCTTTGTACTTGTGGAAGTTTCAGTAGCTACATCTAGCTTATCACTGTCTTTTGTTGTGGGATTTCTTTAATCAAACCTTGTGGACAAGGTTCTTATTGAGGACGAGAGTGTAACATCTCGCACCTAGAAACGACTATAAAGAGTTTAAAATATGAAAACTTTGATTTTTGGAAGGAATGAGGAAATCTGGGAATTTTGTGTAAGTTAAGAAAGTGAGTTTTGGCCATTTTCAAACGGTCATAATTCCTAGCTCATGATGAGTTAGGAGCAGCTCTGAATATGGTTGGAAATCCCTTGGAGAGATCTTTCCAACGCCGCCAATTTTGCGCTATTTCGACATCATATGAGTGAGATATGCCTTTCGGAAGTTGGGCTGTTGGATTAAGGAAAGTTCCAATCCGGATTTAAGAAAGGGCAAACTAGTCTTTTCTCTAATTAATTTCCTAATTCGTTTTTAGGGATTTATTTGGGGTAAAAACAGAACTTAATTCAATTTTGGAAAATTAGAATACGCTTAGGGCTTGGAGAAAGAGAAAGGAAGAAAGAAAGAGAGAAAAGCCAAGATTTCGCCAAGAACGTCAAGCGTTTGGAGTGGAATTCGTCGAGGGTAATCCCTATTAAGGTATGTGAGATCTTTTAGTGATGGGTTAGTTCACCCACACACCAACTTGTTTCAATTCAGCGATTTTGGGTTGTTCACATGTTAAAAAGTGAAGTTATTGAAGGGCATCGTTAAGTTCTTGATTGGTTGTGTTGTTGAAGTTTCTTGTTGATTTGATTCGTGTTTCCAGTTGAATTTTCGAGTTAAATCTGTTGTATGTTGAGGGTGCTATTGATCCTAAGAGTTTGGGGAAGGAACCATTGAAGTTTAGAGGGTTTAGAGATGAAAAACGAAGGAGAGAAATCGGGGATTTTCTGGGCAAAGGCTTGGGCGCCGCGCCTGCTAGAGCGCCACAAAAGTTCCTCTGAACTTTGGCCTCTAGCGCGTCGTGCCAGCCAGAGTGCCACAGGCAGCCCACTGAAGTTTGAGGGCTGGCGCCCCCGTGCCTCTCAGAGCGCCAGGGACGCCAGTTCTCCCCATTCGTTCCCAACCATCTCGTACTTGTTCCTAAGTGATGTACCTATGTTTCCTAGTCGATTCCAACACTCTAAAGTACATCTAAACATCATGAAATCATCCATAAACATGATATCATGAACCTTGAATCCATAATTCAATTCAAGGAAAGTTAAGTTCAGAGTCAAGTCTAGAAGTTAAGAAGCAAGTCAAAACAAAGTTTCTTAAAGTTTTCAAGGGTCTTTAACAATGTTTTAACGTCGTTTTAAGACTTAAGTTTTGAAGTTAAGCAAGAGTAAAGATATGGTTTGAAGTTCTATTCTTCAAAGAGGTATATGGGGACTATGTATTCCCAAATAACCCACAACCCCCATAGAACCATGTAGCCATCATAGGTAGAAGAGGTTCATACTTTTTAGATGAATCCTTTTCCAATTAGACTAGTGGATCCATTAGGCAGTTCAGGTTCTATACCTTTGGCTAGGTATAGGATGCTCTGGCAGCGTGAGGTTGATCGTTGTATCATCACTATAGCTCTTATGTGATGGTTGTCGGTTAGAGAAACTCCCACATCAGTTATTGTACTTTTATATACATCAGTTTATTTGTATTTCTACATATATCCCAGATTTATTGTATCTTTGCATACACACAGAGTTTATAGTATGTTTTTAAACAACTTTTCTTTATATTGCACTTTGTTGTAAATTGTTTTATATTGAAATGAGTCAGTCAGGTTGAGTTGAGTTGATCCAGGTAAGTTATTCAGTTTCTTTCAGATTTCCTTCTAGCATATGTTGCTTAACATTCCAACTCGCATACTCGTACATTCAATGTACTGATGCCAGTTGGCCTGCATCGTCTTATGATGCAGATTCAGGTAACCAGGATCAGCATCCAGCGCCTCGTTGATCTAGTTGAGTAGCTCAGAGTCAGTGGTGAGCCTTCTTGCATTTAGGAGGACTCTTTTATTCGCTTTCAGTCTTTCATTTATTAGGATGTTGTAGGGTTTGTCCCAACATCCATCTCAGTATTTTAGAGGCTTCATAGACAGTCAGATAGTTATTAGTGCATATGTTTTTCTTTATCTTTCAAATGTTGTTTAATGACTTAAGTGCCATTTTGGCCAGTTTATTATCATTTAAGTTGTTTTATAATCTTATACTGTGTTGAGTTAAGTAGCCAGGCCAAGGGCTCGCTTGGGGCCAGCAATGGTCTCCGAGTGCCGGCCACGTCCAGGGTGTAGACTCGGGGCGTGACAGAGAATATTGTTATGAACGAAGTTCAGCCCAATGAGGATACCAACGTCATACAAGTAGTTATTGGTCTGACAAGAGCTATTGGGCCGAGAACAAGCAATAGGGCTAGGTTAATTTAGGATCCGGATTGAGTAGTGGGCATGGAAACGACTCCATCAAAAAGGGTAGTGCAATGTGATTTAGGAATTATGCATATTGGAGAAAATGTTTGTCCTCTCCTCTTCTTCTAGAGTCTAAGCTTCTCATCTCCATTTTTCTCTCTATCTTTAATTCTCGTTATTTCAATATTTCCATTGTAATTCGGTAGTTTGAATATTGCAATTAGAATCTTAAGGTTGTACTAGTGTTCCAGTGCTCTTATTAATATAGTGAGGATTTGGGTTCGTTACACATGTTCCTCAACCATTAGAGTACGAAGAAGATGAAGATGAGTCATATTCCTTAAATGGATTTACGTGGGAATCTGTAGTCTTAGGCTACAGTTTTGGACTAGTTGTTGGAACTGTCATTTGGAGTCTCATGTTTAAATACCGTAAACCAAAATGGGTTGTGGAACTTTTTGATGCCAACGTGCCTCGCGAAAATAGAAGGCCAAAGAAGAGAGCTCAGAGACAAAAAACTGACTTCATGGAAGATTGATGGGGCCAACTTGTCAAGTAATATACTTTATAATAATTACTCTAATAAGTAATGTTGGAATAATCCCATGAATTTTGTTCTTTTACTTTGTCTGAAGTTTCTCTTTGTTATTTGCATCTGTTAGATACCTCTGAATTATATTTAGCATTTGCTTCGACTACTGAATTGAAGTTAGCTTAGGTACAAATAAGCATATATGGGGAAAAACATATTCTTCTGAATTTTGCCTACATAGAGACAAAACAGATGATATTTTCTCAAGGTACACACAACCGTCCCAGACCCCACTTATGGGATTACACCCACTATGTTGTTGTTATTACACTGTTTCACTTGCAAAACACTTTTGTTAAGATGTATGTTCAACGCCTAAGGACATCACATCATTCAGAGACAAATTAGACCTAAAGAATAAGGCGCAAACCAGTCGTTACAAACAACTAGTCTAGGAGGTCTTACTGTTGTAAAATTTGTGGTGTGTTTGGTAAGTAAAATTACACCTACTGTCGCGTTTATTAGGACCCGAGTAAATTTTTTTTTGTGGAAAACAGCACAAGAGACAACGCAACTAATTATGCAGGATCATATCAAACAAAAATAAAATTCCACACGGTATTATTGTTTTGTTGTTACATACTATAAGTAGATGGAGGACTTAAATCATGTCTTCAATTATTGTTCATTTTTTCCTCACTTGACTTAGTCAAGCAATAGCTTCTGTCATTGGAAATTTCTTACAAGTTCTGCAGAATTTTTTTCCACATAAAGATGGGACCAATTTTCACATGCATCAACTTGCGTAACACACACGGTAGTGACAGTTAATGACCTCGAAATGAACACAACATCTAGAGAAAATTAGGACATAGGGAGTATTATTTTGTTAAGTCTTCTCCGTCCTCGAACAAGTTGTTAGAAGTGACTAGTCAAGTGATGCCAAAATTGGACAAAACAAATATTGGTACTATCAAACAAGATTTAAAGACTTGAGTCTTTCTGGAAATAGACTTAACACTTGGGACAATTTTTTTGCAACCACAAATTAGTTAGTGGTAGATGGGGGAAAGCACCCCATTTTATTTGTCTGGATGCATGTGTTTCTTTTCTTTCGTTAATTTATACCTCATACACTACACCAAAAGACCTTTAGCGGCAATTGATTTTTCTTTTAACAGCAATATTTATTGCCACAAATACATTTACCGGCATTTGATTAAATGTCATTGGATCCAATGTCGCTAAAGCCTTTAGTGACATTTATGTCGAGTGCCGGTAAAGACCCTTATTATTGCCACTAAAAGTAATTTCTTTTAGCGGCCTTTACTATTGCTATTAAAGCCGAAACAAGCATATTTGTCACTTTTGCTATTGCCGGCAAAGATAATAATTGTAACTCAATTATTGTAACGACTTAAAACTAATCATAAATTCACCTTAATTCACATATTTAACCCTCTTTTGCAATTTCTAAAAGCCCATTAAGTTTTGGCATCTATATTTGGGTCATTCACCATGAAGTTAAGGATTCAAAAAATTTATTTCCATATGACATTCATATTTAAACGAATTTAAATTATATATACCAACAATATGAAGTCTACAATCAGTGTAATTTAACGTGTTGTAGTTAGCATGTTGTTTACCTTGATTTGCAGGTTATTAATTTCACTTATAATGAAGAGTCATCTATAGTTACTTTTAGACAAGTTGATAGTAAGAAAATTTCCTTAAAGCTCTAGCATACAACTTTTCGAGAAAAAAAAATATAACAAATGGAGAAAAGCCTAAAATACCTTCGAACTATTGGAAACAAAGGTACACATCACTCTCTTCAGACCCCACTTGTGGGATTACACTAGGTATGTTAC